ACACGGCCTTTGGGTGTCCTCGTCCAGAGCGGTGCGCCTGATTCTGGTTGTTCCTCCAAAAGAAATGTGGATTCGTGGTGAAGCAGCTGGAAAAGAGCCTGGGGACGGCCTCAGCCATGGACAGCCAAGCTCCGGAGAGAGGGAGGAGGGAACGTGGCTTGTGTGTTGGCTCATGGACGTGAGCTGGAAACCAAGAGGCTCCAAGAGCCCAGCTCCAGAGGAAAAAAAGTTCTCCCAAAGGCTACTTTTACATAACCTTCACTGAAAATATGGGCTCCTGCAAGTGGATTGAAAAACAAGGAAGGCACATATTGTGTGAAAGAAATACACATGTGCTACCATTTTTATAGATTTAACAACAAGGAAAGGATATTAGCAGTGACATTGTTACAGAGTTTTCATATATTCAGGAACAGTAAAGGGCGACCAATCTATTTGAGATAAATCTTGTTCTTGCGTCAGAGGTGAAGCTGCAAAGAACGAAGGGTCTCACTGTGCCGGCAGGGGGACGAGGACCTCAGCATAGAGATGGGCTCAGCAGTAGGAGAACACTACAGGGCCCTTTTTATTATCTAATTGCTACTATAAAGCTCCTTTAATACAACCATGACAAATGGATGGTTTAATTTGTCACCTTGTCCGCAAGCAAATCGTATCCGGCTGTTAGTCTAATTTTGCTCCTCCGTGGTTACGTGACCCACGCTGCTCTTGTCCGGCAGCCAGTTTCGGCTGCTGACCGCTCTGTCCCCAGGCTTCCCCTGCAGCAGTTTCCTTCGGTTCTTCTTCCTTTAGCAGGTCCTCATGGGCTCAGTCTGGAGTAAAATCCTTAATGATTAAAGTGTAAAAATATTATTCCTGGTGCTTACTAAGAGGACTAACAAGTCTATTAACGTTAACCAGATTCCTTTCTGAATACATTTGCATACATTTCCTCCTTGCCCATTAGGCTGGCTGCTGTGTTTTCCCTTTTTGCCTCTACAACACCTGGCGTACTGGGCTTTTCCAGCCCGAGTTTCCAGGTTTGGCTAGAAAACACTTGCTTAGCCCAGCGAAACACAGAGAGGGGCCCCTGCCTGCAGCCTGCAAGTACGTCCGGGCCCAAAATAGCAGAGCAGGAGAAGAGTTGTTTAGACTAAAGGACAACATTGCAAAGAAACAACCGGGTATGAAGTGGCAGTGACCTAGGCTGAAATCAGGTTTCCAGCCACAGGAGCAGAGTAATTCTGGATTTAAGCAGGAATTTGCCAGGTAAAGGCTCTCGCTGCCTTCGGAGGGAGCTGGCCAGGAAAAGCACTGCGTGGCGCAGGTGGGGCCTTAGCACAGTGGCAATCGGCTGCGGTGGCTCCGGCGGAGAGCTGCCTTAGGCCGGCAGCGTAGCCATAACGGTCTCTATGCTGAGGACAGCAGATGGTGGCTGTGAATAAGCTGGTGGTGGGTACGGGCAATGGGGCAGGAATCGCTCCGCGGGCCTTGCTCCATTTCCTTGGGGTGCCCTTTCTAGCCTCATCCTGAGCCCCTTCTTGCTGGGTTTCCCTCAACAAACTCTTCTCGCTGGTTTTAGGAGCCCTTTTGTTGCCCTGGTGCTCTTCACATCTTCACCCACAGGGTGAAGCTTGCCTGTAGTCAGCAGTGACGAGGTAAGACTCTTGCCAGTGGCGAAGGTTTATTCTCTTTACCTTGTGCCTTCACAGGACTCAAGCAGAGCAGCTGAGTCCCAAGCCCTGGGTTTATTTTCTACTGTGGTCGCGGCTACTGCCAGGTGAGGTGATGGTCAGAGGGTTTTCGTGCGAGCAGCCCGGCTGAGCGTCCCCGAGAGCTCGCTAGAGCCAGAGCAAGTGAAGGGAAAACACAGTGGAGGGGAAGACAGCGCCCCCAGCCCCGGCTGGGAGGTGGTGGTGGAGTCGGGGTCTCCCTGCAGGATGTCCCCATGCACCATGCAAACCCCTGCCACCCTGCAGGCCACAGAGCGGGGGGCCTGCAAAGGCCGCCGGGAGGATGAGAGGCATCGGGCTACCGAGTGCTTTAAAGAAGAAAAACTGGTACACGAAGAGGGAACAAGTAAAAATAAACCTTCCCTCCTCCCCACCTCCTTCCCTGCCACAACATAAAGCGCCTCGCACCGGGTGTCTCCCTGCCTCCCGAAATAATGCCGGGCGCTGCCACTGCCGTGCTCGGTGATGCTCTCTCCATGCCTCCCGTTTCCATGGCGACTGCAAGGAATGTCGCCAGGGTGACAGGGAGGAGAGGGAGCTGGGATTTGGCATTAAAAACTGGAATTTGGATTCTTCTTCTTTTTTTTTTTTTTAATTTCTTTTTTTGTTTTTCCCCCTCTCCATTTGCAGGTTTGGGGGACTCACGCTCCCGGAGAGCCCCTGGGCGAGGGAGCAGCAACTTCTTCGAGGGCCGAACTTTCCCTCTCAGGCCCTGCCCTGATCCCAGCTGTTTTGCCAGGAGAAGGAGGGGAAAAGGGGAGGTTTCCTTCTTGCTAAAGCATATGTCTTCTGCCACCAGCAAGGCTTTTGCCCCGGGCAGCTGCTTGGCCGGGAGTCCCCCTCCATTCCCACTCGGGGCCGTAGCTCGAGGCACCTCCAGGCCACGTGGGGACCATGGGCAGCCCCCGGGAGACAGAGGGGTCGGGAGCTCGCGCGCCTTGCCGGCAGCTCCTGCGTCGTCCCCCCGCCCCAGCCCCAATCCCTCCGCCTCCCCCATCCCCACAGCAGCATCGGGAAAGGTTGGCGGGGTGGGGC